CTGCTGGGGTGCCCGGGGCTCTCCCAGCTCCAGCGGGGCAGGATCAGGCCCTGGCACTGAATGGGACAAGGGGTGCCTGGTGCCACCGGTCTGATCCTGCCACCCCCACAGACCTCTGGGAATATTACCTGCCCTACCTCTACTCCTGCATCTCCCTCTTTGGTGTGCTGCTTCTGCTGTGTAAGTCGTTGGATGCCCCCTGAGGTTCCCTGGCCCCAGTGGCCCATCCTGCTCTGGGTGCAGGTCCCCGGGGGTGCCCAGCTGGGAGAAGGGGGTGCTCTCTGCAAATGGGGTCTGGAGGAGTCCTTGTGCAGGGCTGAGCCCCCCGCCCTAGCCAGGACCCTTCTGGGGGTACTGGGAGGGGCAGGATGCTGGGACCCCCCCTGTTCAGCCTCTCCTCCCCCCACAGTGTGCACCCCCTTCGGCCTCTCCACCATGTTCACCGTCACGGGGAAGCTGCTGGTGAAACCCCGGGTGAGGAGGTGTCCCCTCCCTGCTCCCACTGCCCCAACCTGGGTGTGACTGTCCCCAGGGCTGCCTGCTCTCCCACCCTGGCCATGGGGAGCCATTCATGCCCCCTCACTGGCTGCTCACGGGCTCCTCACCCATCCCCAGCTCCTGGAAGACCTGGACGAGCAGTTGAGCTGCACGAGGTTTGAGGAAGCTGCTGTATCCCGCAGGATCCGCTCTGGTGGGTGCCCGGCACGGGAAGGGGGAGCACAGGGTGGATTGGGGGTCCCTGTGCCCCCCCATGAGAGCATTCAGCCCCCCTGAGCCCCTCGGTGTGTCCCCCCTGGCAGGCAAAGCTTCCTGCTGGCTGAACCTGGACATGGAGCTGCTGCAGGAGCAGTTCTTTGCCATCCGGAGCAAGAGGAGGAAATTGGGTGAGGAGCCCGGGGGGGAAGATCAGGATACCTGGATTCCTCCCAGCTTGGCACTGGGAGCACTGTGTCCCCAGCAGCCTGTGCTCTGTGGAGGGAGTGGGATGGAAAATGGGGTAGAGGCTGTTACCCCCTGTCCTGGCAGCTTGGGGCCCCCTCAGTCTCCCACCCTGGGGTGGGGGCTCTTCTCCCCTCTCACCTGGGCACATCCCCCCCCAGAGCTGCGGCACCGAGCGTCGCCCTGGCAGAGGAACCTGGGCTACCCCCTGGCCATGCTGGGCCTCCTGGCGCTGACGGTGAGTGGCCCTTGGCACCCAGGGGAGCTGGGGGTCGCCCCTGTCCCCCCCACTGCCCTCACTCCCTCCCTGCTCCTCCCAGGGCATTTCTGTGCTCATCGTCTGCTTCCACGTCCTGGAGCTGCTGCTGGACGATGCCGCGATGCCACGGGGCATCCAGGTACCCGGGCAGGGGGACGGGGCACTGTGGGGTCACGTCCCTCGCTGGTCTGGGGACTGTTCCCCCCAACCTGCCCCTCCTCTCCCCSCAGGACGCGTCCCTGGGCCAGGTCTCCTTCTCCATCTTTGGTTCCTTCGGAGCTGCCCTGCAGGTCGTCCTCATCTTGTATCCTTCCAGCGGGCA